CTGGCTAACTTCCCACATCAGAAACTCAGAGAGAAGACTGGGCAAGCTGAAGCTGCATCCTTTGTGCCAGGTGGGCACCTCCTTGACGAAGTCAGGATGCCAGCTTGCAGAAACCTCACCCTCCGAAGGGAAGACCCTTCCTTGCACTTGGGTACACATACAGAAAAGCTTGTTGCATGACTTGACACTGGTGAAAACACCAGTATTTCCTCAGGGTATACCTTTGTTTCTCCTCTTACTTAACATTCTATTCTGGCATATTGAAAGCGTCAAACCTCAGCTAATTTAGACATAGCGGTATTTGAATGAAGCGCTTGTATTTTTAAATATGTAGCTGTTCCTGGGTCAGAAGCAGAATAAAGTTATACTACTGTCTGGTTTTAGTTTTGGTTTGTTTTTTTTTTTTTTTTCATACAGGTAGGAAGCTGTTAACCCTGGTCTACCAGTATAATTATTTAGGTACAAATATATATGTATGCTTGTAAATAGCGTTATACGTCTTTCAAGTGCAGGCCTGACCTAATACTGTACGTACTTTTATGGCTTGTCTGCAATGGAATGAAACTCAAAACATTTGTGGTTTGGAACAAATATTTGTTGAATATTAAGACTACTATGTGTAAATAGAGTGGGGTAACTCCTTTGGATTTGCTGGGTACTCTGAATTAAAAACTCTTGTCTGACCCTTAGCAAGTACAGTCAAGGATCTTGGAGCAGCTTGTTTATTTTAGCTAACAAGTTTGTGCAAACAACATGGTTTACAGCAGACTGAGTACTAATATGAACTACAAATGTTTATAGCATGCCTAGACTCATGTTTATTGCTGTTGCATAACTCAAGCTAATTGGAAATTGCATAACGAGGTAAAACAGCAAAACAACTAGGCTGATCATTTCCTTGGCAACTTTTGTTGAAGGCATATGGAAAGTCCTCATAATGTAATGTCAGAATATAAAGACAAATTAGAGGAAAGCTACTTTACTCCACAAGTGTGTATATATATATGTACACAGAGGCACCTTAGCTCAGTAATGTGATAAAATGGAGAGTTTCTCGTTAACAAGCTAAAACAAACTTGCATTGACCTGCATTAAGTCAATCTATCACAGTTTCAAAAAAAAACCAATAAAAGGATGATGTGTCCACCAAAGCTGCTAACCCACCCCTCCCCTACCACAGTCACAAATCAAGCCCATATAAATCAATTGCCTCTGACCAGGTCCTTCTCATGCTACAGATCTGTCAAGGTTGGAGCTGACCACGCTCCAACATCATGCTAGCAGGTGGTTCCTCTTGGGCGTAGGAGCATCCAACTAAGAGGCAGGATCAGTGCCCAGCTTCACTGGGTGCTGCACAGCCACGCATCACCCCTTCTGTCAAAGCAGATGTGGTTAGAAAGTGGTTTTGTTCAAAATCTTGCATACCTATTAATAGGAGAGAGGTGTGTTCATGTGCAGAACTTGGCATCCCTGGATTCATTTTTTTTGGTGTGGCCCTTCTGTGCTGACATCTTTGGTTTGAAAGTGTTCAGCTTGGTATAGTGGGAAATCAGCTTCTCAATTTGATAAGTCCTCCTCAGTTTTTCCAAAGAAAAGGTTAATGATTAATTAAAATTATTATTTCCATGTTCTTACAACTTTAAAATACACAAACTAATACAAGTAGGGGCAAAAGGAAAAAAAAACTAAGTGAGAGGTGTAGCCTTTCAAAGACCAATAAAGGGATAAAATGCCTACTGCATTCACCCCTGGAACTCAAAAGTCTGACACCATCTGATTTCAGACCTTCTCATAGGTATTGCTTTTGTAAATGTTTACAAATTTCGGGTTGAGGCTTGGGCCATACTAACTTACAAGGTTTTCAGAAGATGCTTGATGCTGCAATTGAATTGAAAGGATCTGCCTTTCAAATGTAAATGCTGATGTGTGGATCGATCTTTGGACTTTTTATGCTTTTTAAATCAGTATTTTCTGAATCTTGACTGAAGTAGTGTGATGCATATTAATATATTTTACTTTTTTCCTCATTTTCTTGGCTATATGGACAGTATTTACAGTACATGTTAATCATTCACCTGAAGACCACTTGCACGGAGAAGTGGAAACTTCATTTGGCTGAGTGGCTTTGGCTTTTCCCGTGGGAAATACTTCTCAAACTTGTCTGATCCTTCAGTCTTCATACCTAATTAGGGGGAGAGCGTGTGCATGCAGCTGTAGCCATCTGAAGATATGTTTCACATAATAAATTTTACTCTAATAACTGACCTACTTTTTAAAAATCACAGTTCTTCTAAACAGATTAAAAATGTTATCTCTCCAAAGTCGTTTCATTGTTCGAAACAAGTTTAAAGTCACCTTTGCAAATAGTTTTAAAATGAAAATGGATCCGTGTTTGGGGGTTCAGCTGAATGAAAGTTATAGTCATTTGTTTTCTCACTTATCTTAATAGAAAGATAATAGTGAGGTGCAGCAGCATGTCAAAAATAAGAAAAATAGCAGTATAATTTCAACTCAACACAAAATTATGTATATAGTAAGGATATGTGTAAGATTAAAATCTGTGTAGCACCAGTTGGCATTTGAATTCACTGTGCATATATTCTTCCATAGTCTACTGTCCTTCAGCCACTGCAGAAAAAGTAATTTGCGTCTAATTTTTGCGTAGACCCATCTATTTTTGCTGGTTTTCCTTGGTTCCCCAGTGCTGCTGACAACTTGATGTGTCCATACAGGCAGGGATGCTGAAGTAAAGCCCTTCTGACCCCCGTGGCAGGGGTTGGAAGGGCCAGAAAGGAGACGAAACTTTGCTGCTTGCACAGTAACTTGCTAAGAATGAGCAATGCTGTGAAAGGAAAGGCAGGAAAAACTCCAGAGCGAAAAAAAAATGGGTTTCTGTCATTGCCTCCATCACTGAAGGACCTTTGGTAAATCACTTGAGTTTTGTTCCTCTGGTGAGCAAGTGCAACAGGATGATGATGGTAGGGCTGGACTGGACATAAATAGCCTCGATTTTATTCCTAGGTTTGTCCCGCACTTCTTGATGCAATCTTTGAAATTCTCCTTCTCTTTTCTTGGAAATTCTGCTTTTCTTGTAATTCTGAATTTTGAATTTCTTGAAATTCTGAATTTATTCATGCTACTCTTTCCATTCCTTCTGATTAGATTGGTGAATAATTTGGATCAGGGTGGTGGTTTGCCATGGATTCATTAAAGCCTTGGCTCCGCCAGCCAGAAAGCATGCCAGGATGCTGAAGTGAACCCAGCTGTCAGAAAACCTAAATTTTCATTCTATTCTAAAGCAAAATTAATGAAACTGTTGAAGTGTGATATTTATTTAATTTTGGAATTGCTGAGATACTCTGTTTCCATAACAAATAAGCTTCCTGTGATCTCTGGCAAGTGCTGGTGGAAAAGAGCCTCATGTTGGGGGTTGGTGGGTTTGTGCGTGTGTGTATCGCATCGGATTTGTTTGTGTATCACATCCAGCGTAGTCACCCGTCGAAAGGGCATCCAAGGTCTGTCGCTCAAGAGTATTCCTAATTTTAAAAATACCATGAAGCACTGGCTTTTGTCTGGGTTTTTGCACTTTGAAAAGAATCTAAACTAACCGACCACTAGAATATATGAATAGAAAGTTAGCGTAAACTAATAGGTGTTGTTTTAAAAACACCAACTTGTGAAATTGGCTGTGCCTGTAGTTTCACATCTCTAGAAAAGCATTCCCTGTCTCTTGGCTCACACCGCATTCAAGGAAATGAAGAACTGGACTCGTTTCCATGTGGAGCGGCTTTCGGAGCCACCTGGCTAATTTGCAGATCAAGAAATAACGCATTTGAATCGTGGCAAGGAGTGAAATGTAATCTTGAAAGAATGCTGACTTGTGCCTGCTTATTTCCTCAGATAATTAAGCTGAAAGCAGAAGCCCGTCTTGATCTGCTGAAGCAGATCGGTGTGTCCGTGGACACGTGGCTAAAGAGCGCAATGAACCAAGTGATGGAAGAACTGGAAAACGAACGCTGGGCCAGCCTGCCCTCGGTGACCAACAACGGCTCTTCACACCTGGTACGGTTTCCAATGTGTAAACCTCACCTTGTCTCCACGTGGCTCTTTCTAGTAACAACTCCTAACATGAATATAAAACAAAACTGATGATATTTGGTTGGTTGTTAGCAAACTGGAAAAATCTTGTAGCTTTATATGACTGAAGCATGTGTCTGAATTTCATGCAAAAAAAAAACCCACAAGCAAAAAAAAAAAAAAAAAAAGGCTTTCTGGCTTCTGTTGCTGAGTTTACTTTAGATTGTTTTTTCTGACCTTGGATAAGTGCCATAAAATTTATTTGCCATCTCCTGGAAAGGAAAATGTCTGCATGTTTCTTTGAAGTTTCATTAATAGTTTACGATGTTATCTGAGCTACGTGGATGAAAGGATTTATTCTTCCAAATGTTTTGAAAACTATAACCTCTACATCATCTCTTAAAGAGTCATTTATGTAGAGATCGCAGTGAAAGTCATCAGGAGAGCAAAGCCTTTTTTCCAAATTGATTTGGATATTTGAGATGAAAATTTAATTCATTAAAAATCCGTGTAAGGCTTTGGAAAACAGGCTATCCGTTCCTGTGAGCAGGGTTAGATGTTTCCCTCAAAGATTTGTCGTGGATTTAGAAGGTACCATTATTCACCTGCAAATTACTGCCCTGTTATTTGAGATATGGTAAATAGTTGACATTTTCTATATGAATAACTAGTTTCACTTAAAGCAGTAAAGAAGTTAAACTGGAACTGACCACAAGCCTGATCACTACTCTATTTCATCCAAAGAGTTGGTAACTTCTTAAACTGTTAAATTAAATTGCACGAGTCTGTCCTGCTGTGTCCAAAGTCACGCCAACTCTTTTGAAAATTTCATCCAATATACCCAAAATAGAACTAAAAAGCAGCTTTAATTAGTGGAAGATTGGTAATGATGTTTTATTCAGCTGTACCTAAGACAAATTGCATTTGTAATGGCTATAGCTGGTTTGCAAAATAGGCCAGAGACATCTCCCATCTGTTTAGCTTGGAAGAAAGCACATTTTTATGTAATTCAAGAAAGAATAAAAAGCAAACTCTCATTTTCCTCCCCTCTCCCCCTGGAAGAATGATATGTTTTAAAATAAATAGTGATGGCTGAATCGAACAGCTGCCTGAACCAGGAAACCCTCTTCAGAAAAACTGCTAAAAAGAGCTCGTAATTTTTTTTTTTTTTTTTTGATTCACCTACATGGCATACGATGCTGAGCTGTCACCTTTGGCAGTAAAACTAACCACTCTGTTGATCCTCTCCAGTAACCAGTGAAAATAAAATTCCTGAAGGTTTGGTCAGTTTGCCTCAAATCATACATTTTCTCTGTGTGTTTATATATTTAATATTTAACAAAATTCAGAGGCTTTTATAAAGTCTCGATTTGCATGTGGATACTTTCCTAACTATAGTCTTCATACACTATTAAGATTACTTAATTCACGCTTTCTTTTTAATCTTAAATGCTTTGGACAGCCAGAATGTGTCTTTTGTATAACAGAACTTTCAGGGAGAATGGGGATGTGGTTTTTTCATTGCATTGCAAATGATTTGGAGAACGGCTTGCTTTCGCTGACCACCTAAGAGAAACAAAATCTCCGTTTCAGCAAGTATGTGCTATCTACACACAAAAAGTCCCGCTTGTTCCCATGTTTCCTTGTGCTTTTCTGCTTCTTTATTGTTTTCTTGGGAATAGTGGCAAACCCTTAGAGGGAAGGGGGATTTTTTGGATGTACACATATTTTCATCTATGTCAGCTTTAGTTCAAAGAAAGTGAGCCCTGGATGGAGTCTCGGCAAACGCTTCCTGGATCCAGTCTTTGCTTTCTTCAGGGTGTTGGGATGTTTCTTCTAACGTTATACCCAGAGCTCAAGCACAGTGACGGTGATTTGCCGTAAAGGTTGTTATGATCACTGCTCTGCATAGACTGTCTCTGCAGGCTTTATTCCCATGGTTAGTAGTATAATTAGAGATTAAAGTCGTAGTATGCAGATCCAAGCTTCAGCCTTCCCAGATCCCAAAGGAGTTCTTGTGCTGAGTTTCATTTCAGATCCTTTCTAGCCAGGATAGATGAGGATAGGTTACATAGCTGTGTTTAACAGTGGATTTTTTCCCTTTCTTCTTGTACTCCACCTCCCTTAACTTCCCGTTGTGCATGCTGGATTGCACCCAGTCCCTTGTTCTCTGTCTCGTCAGACGTGCCAACAGTTGGCCCTGGAGCCAAACCCCATGCTAGTGCCTGGCGAGCCGGGAGATGCCACAGCGTGGGAGATTGAACTCTGATTCTTGTTTTCCCCTTTTACACTTACGTATGCTCCCGTAGAGAAAAAAAAGATACTGTTGACCTTGGCAGGCCAGATGAGGACAGCCCGTAGATGGAATTCTTAGAACTGTTACCAAAATTACGCTCCTTGCAGTTATTAGAAGAATTGCTGCAGCATTATAACAAGCATCACTTTGACTCCATCCTTGAAGAGCGGGCAGTGTTTAATGTTCAGAAACCAGCTATCTGCCGTCCTTACGGCATGCACAGCTTCGCTCTTTGTGCCAGTACTTGTCATGACACAATTTGTTCAGCAACACTCTTAGCATATTTTCTTTTAAAGAGCTAAACAGAAGAAAGCAGCAGTGATGCCTTGATATTGCTGTATTTATTTAACCTACTACAATAATGTAACGAGCTGAAGAAGTTAATATCCTATCATCTATCCAGTTGGCTGACTTTCTAATATAATAATGAAATCCTAATCTTAGGAAGGAATACTTTCCCCCCCCTACCCAGTGTACATGCCCCAAAAAATTAATGGTCATTTTGAATTTTAACGTCATCTGAAAAACGTGTGCAGTGCTCATGCTGCCTACAACGAATGTAGAGAAATACTGTGTAATTTATTCAAAAAAGGAAGAGAATAATGTCTTTATGGGATTTGTGTTTTGTTTTGTATTCTCTGGGACTTGAAGCAGTACAGTTATAAGAAACATTTGTACCCTAGAAGTACAGCATTGCAGAGCTGGAAATCAAATTTGCATTTGGTTAGTTTCCTGCAAACATGAAAACGGATGCTTTTAACTGTAAAGGGATATAGCATCTTTTAACTGTAAAAGGTTATAGCATCTTTCAACTATTAGGTTACTGGTTCAGATTCAAGCGTGATTGTCATCTGATACCAGCAACTTGTGCAAAACAAATTGTGGTTTCAGTCCCTAAATACATGTGTTGGAAACTGCCTCTGCCTGATCCGTACCTTCGGGTACTGCAGTGGACCGCTCTGTTTGTGAATTGGCAGGAAATTTCAGCCTTGTTGAGTTCCTACCGGTCATACATCCAAATCAGACTGGAGGTCGTTTGGTATCATTGTGTTCCCTGTTGTTGCCAGGGTCTCTGCATTTCCAAAGCCAAAAAAAAAAAAGGGGGGAGCTGGTATTCTTTTTGGTATCTAATCTCTTTTGTGTAGCATATCCAACAAAACAAGGCATATGTATATTTGCATACCTTTTTTCATTTGTATAACCAAGCTATCTTGTCACCTTCTTGCCTGCATTTACTCTTGTGTTTGCTCTCTGTTACATACCTCCGGTATAATTGTGTCTCATGTATTCATTCTTTGCTTACACTCTCTTTCGTTACCAGACTCCGTAGAAAGATAAGCTTTATGAAGCAAACTGTTAAGTTTTCTGTATCAGTAATGCTGTTTTCCCTCTGTGTGCCTACTTTGCAAATGATTCTATTCAGGGAGTTTAAGCAGCCTACACACTGAAAATTAAAACGTATTTTTCCTCCTCGTGTTAGAAAACCAGGACCAGATGTTTTACAAACGACTCTTTCTAGACATGATACACTAATTTCCATGATGTTTCATAGGGCTGTCAGCTGAATGTCAGCCTTGGCTGCTGGGACATAGACCATGCACAGCAAAAGGCAGTTAGAAACTGGAGGGAGAAACCTTAAATTTGCCACAATTTATTGTTAGTTGCTAATATATCAAAGTATTAGCTAGGTAGGACAGTGATTTTTTTGTTACTGCAACATCCGTGAACACATTTAAGTAGCAATGGATGCAAACTGCACTTGAATGAAAATCAGTAGGGAAAAAAATCATATGGATTACAAAGATGTGGTCTAGAAATCATAATATAAAAATTAATCTAAGTCAGAAAGTGAAGAAGCTTTGTGTTCTTCTACTCCAGGTTTCGAAGAGCAAAGACGTTACAGAGCAGAGGTCTGGAGACAGCTGGTTTAGGACGTCTGCATGGTGCTTTTTTGGTCTCAGCCTACCTTTTTGTTGATTTATCAGCCTTTCAGTTTTCGTGAGGAATAGCAAATTCACTCCCAAATTAAAAGGAATAAATAAAGGGAAGATGGCAAATACATAACACTGTTGCCTTTGATTTGAAGGACTTGCCTATTTTCACATGAGATAAAGCGTTTATTCAAAATTTAATCCAGGCACAAGGCCAAAGCACAGCTCATGTCAGTGTTGCCCAAACTACATTTATAGAAACTTGTATTTTTTCAGTGTATTGACTTCAGTTTTTATTTAAACTTTTACAGCTAGTTTTTAATCATAATTCTTTCTTTAAGGAATTTTTTTTTTATAAACTGCAGCAAATCTGTGGTGCAGAATACACCAACCGGAAGGCTGATTTTTTTTATTTTATTTTTTCAAGTTTAAGTATTTCCACTGCAGTTTCATTTTATAACTCATGGTCACAGGTACATTAATCTTTTAGTAGCATAAATTCTCAATAAGTGACTCTTTTTTCCTTTAAACCATTTGCTAGGCCTCTGAAATGGTATCTCCAAGGTACATTAGTCACCGTTTCAGAGGTTATGTAAAAAATAGAAAACTGTCCAGCAGTTGAGTTGGAGCTTCCAAAATCTTCTACAGATCTTTTTAAAGTCCACAAGCCTGTGCTTGACTGAAGAAATACAGCTGAGTTAAGCAGAGATGTAATTTGGTGACAGCTCTTAGTCTTTTGCTTCCCTGTATTTGCTTTGTTTGGTGACTGCTTTCCTGATGTTATTGGAGAATTGTATGTTGAATATTAATTAGTCATTGGTTTTTTGTCCAGTTTCAATAATCGTCAGGAGTAAAAAAACCACACGGAAGAATATCGATCAATTCATTTTTATTGTTATTTCTTCACTTATTTTTATTTGATGGTATAATGCCAAATTTAATTTGTTTTAATAGAATAATGCTGATGCAGAAAAGGAAGAAGGTGAAGAGTTTGAAGACAGCATGGATGTTTTTGATGACAGTAGTTCTAGTCCTTCTGGTACTCTAAGAAATTATCCTCTCACCTGCAAAGTTGTTTATTCATATAAGGTTTGTGATTTTTTACAAAAAATTTGATTAGAAAAATGAATTATGCAACAAAAAAATAGTAAATACGATTGTGCCTGTGGGAGTTTGAGGTAGGATGTCAGCATCTGACTCAGTAACAGTGCACATGAAATATATCTAACATCTAGTTGTGAAAAACCGCAGCAGTGTGAAATCTATACTGTTGTGAAACACATTCAAACTACAATTCAGCAGAGTACTGAAGTCGGCGTGTGAATTGCAGCATGTAGTGATGTCCCTGTCGGGCTTCAAGGAGACCAGTTGTGTGCCTGCCACGAGAAGATGTAATTTCTGTTGCTGAGCCAGTGTGGCTATATTAGAAATGCCTTCTTGGCGTTAGGCATGCTCGTATGCTGTACGACAAAGCTCTTTGTACTATAATAGTGAAACCACCATTCATGAGTTGGCGCTTTGCTGACAAACTGCATTCATGCTATTTACTTCTGCTAGCGCTGCTAGGTCAGTTGTAAATCACACCGCTGCGGTAGCCGAAGCCAGTGGCAGACTTAATCGTAGAGTGCGGAGTAATCAGGGTTTCAAAAGTAAATAGGGTTTGATGTGCTGGGTGGTATTCGGGGTGCTTCCATCCGCCCTCTTGAGTCTTGTGAATGTCGGTAGCTATACAGAAGAACCCTTATGAATATGTTTTAAAGTATGCTACATCATAACATTTTCAGTTTTAATTTTAAAAAACATAAGTTTTAATAAAAGTCTGGATGAGAATGTTCTTCACACTGCCCGTCCCGTGCACCTGAAAACACTTTTATTTTCTAAGCTTTAATAAAAGTCTGGATGAGAATGTTCTTTACACTGCCTGCCCTGTGCACCTGAAAACACTTTTTGTTTTCTAATCTTCCTGTTATACACTTCAGGCTTCTCAGCCAGATGAGTTGACCATAGAGGAACATGAGGTATTGGAGGTTATTGAAGACGGAGATATGGAAGACTGGGTAAAGGTATCATTTTTCTAAGATTCTTTTCTTTTCACTATTACTTTTAGAAATAGAACTTGGGACAGGAGAAAGTATTTGGATTAATTTTCAGAACAGTGTGCAAAAGCAGAGAATCTTTTATGTCGTTTATTTACAGGCACGGAATAAAGCGGGTCAAGTGGGTTATGTGCCAGAGAAGTACCTGCAGTTCCCGACATCCAGCAGTCTGCTGAGTATGCTACAGTCCCTCGCGGCACTGGATAGTCGATCACACACCTCGAATAACTCCACTGAGGCTGACTTAGTCTCGGGCAGCCTGAATGGAGACTCCAGTGGTAAATACCAATAAAAAAAATAAATAGTATATTAAGCTTGTTCTCGAAAGCATTCTGCATATCGAGTTTGGATGTTGCACATGAGAATTTCTTATATTTGACCTGTATCTGAGTACAACTTTTCTCAGTAATTATCTATCTCATATCAAATCTGTGTAATTTACCTGGCTATCTCATGGAGTTGAGATTAACTAAGATTAAGGAAGACTAAAATAATTTGACTCAGCAATTATAGAATCATGGAATCATTTAGGTTGGAAAAGACCTTTGAGATCATTGAGTCCCACCGTAAAAGTGTGTATAGTACTTACTATTTCTTTTAAGCTCATGCCAATTACACTTTTTTTTCCCCTCTTCCATTCTGCAGTCTGTTTTGTAAAAGCACTTTATGATTATGAGGGCCAGACGGATGATGAGCTGTCCTTCCCGGAAGGAGCGATCATCCGCATCCTGAACAAAGAAAATCAAGATGATGATGGCTTTTGGGAAGGAGAATTCAATGGACGTGTCGGGGTCTTCCCATCAGTATTAGTGGAAGAGCTTACGGCCTCAGAAAATGGAGAGACTCAGTGGATTGGAGATATTCAGGTACGTAAAGAGTTGTGGTGCTAGCTTGCACATACGATATTCGTTTGTTAGGGCAATTTTGCAAGGCTGCAAAGATCTGCTGCTTCTTTAGGAAAAAAAAATCGGAACCAATTTAACAAAAAAAATCAGAAATTATTTAAGAAAGAAAAAAAAACTGAGCGCTTACCTTTTAGTTTCTTACCCAGCCTAATAATTATGAACTGCTATATTTTGGCAAATGCAACAGATTTGTGAATAAAGGCAAGCATTTGGGTAGAAAGGAAATGAACCAAAGGAGAAAATTCACAGTCTACTTCCTGTAATTAATTTATGGCATAGACTGAGACATCAAACAGAACCTGGCAAAAAGAGAATTACAGGCTCTCTCAGCGCTAATTTAATGTTTTAATACGTAAATCTGTTCTGTATCCTCTCAATTTTTGAAGGGCAGAATACTGCCAAATACTGTATTACAGTAATTTTTGCAAAAATGTCCTCGTTCCAGTATAGCTCTGTAATCCTTATATCATATTAGAAAATCAACACATTGTCATGTGTAATTGTGGTGCTAGAAACTGGACTTCCAGGGTCCCTACAAAGTAATTTCTCCGGTATTTTTGTTCTTTGATTTGGGAAGACCATTAAAATTTAACATTTAAATAATATATATGCAATTGAATTGGGATAAAACTTACAATCTTAACGCTTTTGTGTGAATATATGTGGAGAGGCACACTTGGCCAAACGAGAGGTTTCAAATAACCTTCAAAAAGTCTCTCTAAATGATCTGACAGAGGATGAAAATTTCTGCTCAGTGGCAACCTATGATTTAAAAAAACTATAATCACAGTTGGATATCTTGGCTTTCTTTCCCAAACGTACCTGACAGCACTTTTGACAGATAATTTTTCTCCAGATGAAAGTTCCTAGCATACTGATGTGTCAGACAACTTACTGCACCATGGTGTGGCCATAAAAACAGTCGAGGAGTCAGGTTTTCTGCAGCCCCTCTCTCTTTTTAACACAGGTATCCCCGACTCCGAAGCCTAATAATGCCCTTCCACCGCTGCCACTGTACGACCAGCCTCCCACTAGTCCCTACCACAGCCCGGATAAAAGAGGTTCTCAGTACTTCCCCAGATCACCGTCAACTAACGGTAAGAAATTTTGTGATAGCAGAAGTAACATTTCAGCGAAATGCTTGATGTAGAATGTTCACATTTCAGAGGGATTAAAAAAAAAACCCCAACGCTTTTTTTGCAATGTAACATTAATTCAGCAATACTGAGTGGCTTGTTTGTGATGGGTTGTTGCTTACTCTGTCAGAAAACAGCTTCAGTTCAGAGTCTCCTGGATTCTCACAGCCTCCACGAATTCCTCCTGAATCTTCATATGGCAAACTGCGACCTGTAAGTTAAAAACAAATACCATTGTCTTTATTGCTGCTACAAAGTTACAAGGCCAAGTCTAGGTAAATGGGGATAGGTACATTCAGAGCAGGGCGGTGATACAGCGCCTGATGATTTGGTTCTCTGTGTTCTGCAAATCCCATTACTATGTATAAAAACGTGGTATCTCAGATGAATACTGCGAGGAAAGGTCAGTTCACTCCCCTTTGATAATACCATAGATGTGTCAAAAGCTACAGAACATGACAGCTATTGGAGATTAAGTGAATACTAGAACAAAACAAAGCTGCACTTGTTTAAACAGTAAGTCATTGTGTTTAAAGATGACCTTGAATCTTATCCATCCCCTATCCTTTATCTAACCTGCCCTCCTGTATCTGCCTTTATAGATGTAATACCTGCATGTCTCTGTGTGAGGCATATGAATCATGAAATCTAACCTTGGGAGGAAATTACATCTCTAATGATAGTAAAATAGACGTTAGTCGATAAACTTCTAGTGTCCTTTCAGGCATGGGGAGATGATTTCTGTTCTTACCGCATGTAATAACTCCTAAACAGAACTAAAAAAGCGGTGGTGAATAAATGCCAGAAGAGTTTAATCATATGATTTCTACAATTGCTTCTTCTCCAATGTGCTGGCAGAGAAATCTGTTTGCCAGCAGTTTGACGTAGTATGTGGTCCTTGGGACCCCATTGCGTTTAGGGTTAAATTTATTTCCAAACCTCTTGATTTGAGAGTTTTGGATTAAAAATTCTTAATGATAAAATCTATATATTTTGTGATGTCTTTGCTACCTAGAAAGAGAGATTTTGCCAGAAAAAGAAAGGGAGAATTTAATCACTTAGAACCTGCAAAATCCATCTGCTAAGATTATCTTTGAAATCGAGTTTTGGGGGTTTCAAAGTCCTAAACCAAATCACATTAAGATGTAACATTTGTACTTTCCTGGCATTCTCAATGAATGAGGTTGCAGAAAAAGAGCATTTTTGGATATTCAAAAATTATATTCTGGATATTCCAGTAGTCAATGAGTTAGCCTTATTCATTGACATATGCAAGGCAGAGGTAGGACTGCATCGTTAAGTATTTAAGTATTGAACAGGGAAGTTTCACGTTATCTTATTGCCTTGTGAAAAGACACTGATTCAGCTTTTCCATTTTGTAGATTTATATTTTCTTCATGAGTTTCTTGCAATTTACTGTCTTTTCAAGATACTACTACAGCGTCATGCCTTAATTGAAAGGATTTCTGTTAGTATTGGATTTTAAATACGCCTGGTTTAAAAACATTGTGAAGTTTATTATGGTATTGCTCCACAATTCATGTTCTCCATAGCAAGTCACTCTGGTGTATTCTGAAATCATGTGATAAAAACCCTGCATGAAATGCTGTTAGCGCTTCAGGTGATCTCTGTCAGGAGCAATAATAACTTTGTCGATGTGGCAGAGTGTAAAAATAGCGTCAGATTTCAGGTGTGTATCATTCAGGCCAGTGATTGATTAAATATGAGTAAGCCACTTAGATGAAACAAGGTGTTCTTGTAGTTTCTAATCCACATAAGTTCCAGGCAAGGGCGTCATCAGATTTCAGCGTTTGATGTAAAGTCCAAAGTCTGTCCCAGGTTTACGTACCAGATTATCCGTGGGTACAGGCAGAGTAGATGGGTGGATTCACTCGGTGTGTCTGCCTTGTGGTGACTGCTAGTCGTCCTGGAGAAAAATCACCTGCGAGTGGTGACAGGTTATAAGGAAGAGCCTTGATGGCTTAACTGGAGACTACTGGATCTGAATTCAGCTGGTTACTCACTGTAGTTCTGTTGATCTTACTATACAATCCGTATATTTGCATCATCTTGAGGTATGAGCCCAAAGTTGCAGCTTTAGTCTCTACAAGTTCTGAAATTTTGACAGTTTTCTGATAGTTACAGGCTGGTTCTGGCTGTTTCAGGTGCGAGCAGCTCCACCACCCCCTACACAGCATCATCGCCGGACAACAGAGAAGATAGAGGACGTGGAAATTACTCTGGTGTAACGATTGGACTAGTTAGGTAGTAGTGCTACAATCAAGACCAAACGCGGTATTTGGTCAATCTTGTTTTTAGGCACCTTTGCATGATGAAGACTTCGAATAGAGCAAGAGATAGGGAGGATTTTATGTGGCAGTGACATGGTGGATTCCTTCCCACAGTCATGAATATTTTGTGCCTTTTTTTTTGTGTTTTGATTTATATACATCATTCTTCCTCTCTTAGCACAAACTAAGACGGGCCAAACAGCGAGCAGAGGATTGCCTTGGAGCAGGTTTCTCTCTTGGCTGAAGATGGTCAGTTTTTATACGGAGGCTGAGGAAAGAGCCTCGTTCATGCAACTTAGTCATAGCATACTTCCATCACGTGCATTAGTACAGTATATTACTGTTGCCATAGGAATGTGTTAAAGATTGTCAATTCTTCAAGTAGCGTTACTTGTCTGATTAGGTATTAATCAGATCTTGCGGAATGAAAAAGGGAACTGAAAAATAAGTATAAGGAGAGGCTGGCTCCTCTTTAATCCCCTTGCAGAAAGGAAGAAACAGGAAAATAATCTTATAGATAAGGAAAACTGATGCAGATCATATGGCGTTAATTACATTAATGCACACCTCTTCAATAATTAACAGTTAAACTGTTATGTTCTTTGTATTAATATTTATGCAGTACAGTTAGTAATAGAGTATCTAATATGGAGGTGCTGAATTAGTAGCAACATCTTGTTCCATAGCATAAACCAACTGGTAGAGAAGTAAGTGAGATTTTGTCTAGATCTGGAAATTGAGCTTCATTTTTTTTCTTAGCAGATTTGGGGAGTTTTGTTTTGTTTGGTTTTTTTTAAGTATTTGGGTCACTCTTATCCCAGTTATTGCCGTGTACTCTATTATCCAACGTTAGCAGTATATCTTTGTCATCAAAACATCTGGCTAGAGTTAGAAGTTACATTTAGAGTATTTACATGCATTATTTAGTTTTTGCATTGGATGGTCCTCTAGCATTTTCCCGTGCGAAGCCCGTTAACTCGCCAAAGCCTGGGAGCCAGGAAAAGTTCTGGTTTCTGCAAAGCCTTCAGATCGCCTTTGTGGCCAAAACTATGGTCTCAAATTACTCTTAGCCAAGAAATAGAGAGTAAAATAATTTCAAAACCAATTTTCAACCGGAGATCTCTGAAAAGGAAGCTTTTGTTGTTGTTGTTTGAAAGAAAAGGGCAGAGGATATTCTGAGGTTTAACCTGGAGAGAAAGGGTCAGAGGAGAGGGAAAAACTGGATGAAAACAGGTTTTTCTTTGTGTACTTACTAAATTATTTTCAGCCATCTCCATCAGATCAAAGCTTCAGTTAAAAGGCATCACAAGGTTGGGTTTTTTCAGCTGTTATATGGGTTCTGTTGAATGCGCTCTTATGTCTTCTTTTTTTTTTCCTAAGCCAGTAAGTTTTCTACCTTTAGTTTACTAACAAGGGCTATTTTTTGAGGCTGCATTTACAAAAAAAAATAAAAAAAAAAAATCATCTAACAAGATTTTATCATAAACTTTGCACATACTTGTAAATCCCAACCCAAGCTGGGCCTCCGAGACATTCGTGTTTGCCAATCTCCTTTCCCAGTGGGATCTTTAACCAAGAGTGGGGCTGTTTGAAGAAAACAATTCATGGATCAGTTGTGAAATCGCTGACTGTCCAATGAAGTTTTTTCCATATTTTTCATTCTTTTGCACCTCTTGTCCTGTTGATCTGTTTGAGGTCTTTTTATGTGTTTATCAAACTTATTCTTAAGTTTAAAAAAAAAAAAGTTTTTAAAAAAGATTTAACTGTTTGCAAAAATTTTGAAAGCTTCACAATGCAGAAGAAAAGCAAGTATTGCCATAATGTTCATGTTCAATTTCTTTGGCCAGTTTTTCTGTGTCCTTCATACCTGGACTTTCAAAATTCAGAAAGTGTTATTTAAAGTCTCTTTAGTTGTATTTTAAAATATTTTCTGTAAGAGCTGCTAATTTTATTTAAAAAAAAAAAAAAAAGAAAAGTTGTAAAAATATGCCTCCTTTTTAACTATGATTTCTTCATACAGGGCATGTATTCGACGTATCATCATGTACAGCGTCAGTACACTGAAAGCATAGGTGCAAATGCTTTCTTTATATTGGCTGTAAAAAGTTTGTATTTATTATGTATAAAAAGTTGAATAATAAAAAAGTGGAACTAAACCCATGACGTTGCCGTGATACAGACACCGCGATGCCTATGGCAAAATGTCGTTCGAACATTTGGGAGTAGATCTCTGACTGAGGGAGAACCTGGCATTTGGGGATAAAAATGTACATTTTCTTGGGTATCATTTTTATGGTTTCTGCTTTTACGCAGAAATGTGAATCTCCTGCTCAGGCAGACACTTAGGCACATCCCTAAAGTGATCTGTAAACATCACTGTAAGGTGGTATTTACATGAGGAACAAAATTATGCCAAAAACGAAGAGCCAGTAACAAAGCTCCAGTTATCAAAATAATTGCTTAATAGCCTTTATGCAATTAGGCTAATTGCATAAAGCAAGCAAGGGAGAGTGTGATTGACAATAACTCTTCAGTGTGATTGTCCTTTAATAGGGTTGATTTGCCTAATTGTGTGAGGAGTATTTCCACTGCATCCCGAACCTCTCTAGCTTTAGAATCCCTTTATGCTCTGGGTTTCTGTGTTGTATTTTCTTACCGGCACTCACCGGCCGGTGACCAGCTCCTTGCTTGGCTAATTTCAGTTTCTCCAAGGTGAGTGCTTTTTGCGTTAGGTGCTCAGTGATACGTCAGCTCCGCGTGCTGATTTCCTCCTCGTTTTTGCTTTCAGCTGTTTGGCGTCGAGACTATTTTACCCTGTTTGAACACAGCTCGCTGCGCGATCGGCCGCTGGGCATTGCCGCGGTGGTGGGTTAGATCTTTAATCTGTCATTTCCACTCTTCACACAGAACTGTTACACAGGCTTTCATCATTTTTTTCCCTGAGCTCCTGCAGCCTCTTCCTTTGAGAAATCCCAGCTTCCCTTGCTTTTTATATGCATTCACGGTGTTCCTCCAAAAATTATTGTCCTGGCTTGCTGCTTTGACCGCTTTGTCCTTTTCTTTTAGCTTCTTGCTCGTTGCATCTCTCCTTGTCTTGCTGCGTCACACACGAACCTCTTTGCTTGTGATCCTTTTCACCGTCAGTATCGCTTACAAACGATGTTAATCCTCAAATCCACCAATGATGCCACTTTTAATTTCTTCTGGTTTTTAACTGGCCCCATTCATGCCTCTACTTTTTCTCCTTCTCTCTTCCTTAAAAGCTGCGCTGTGACAAAACAAACCCAGCAGATAATGCCCGTTCAGCA